CTTACTAGGTTGCATTTTTAAAAAATTGGAAATATTGATTTCAATGCTCCCTTTGGACCTGTGCAAACACTTATAGTCTCAGGTTTCACCTGATAAATTACGTGTTCCATGTTTTACATGCTCTCCTTTCTGACATTGCTGATGACTACACACCACATGAAAGATTCAGAATATAGGATGTTCCTAAGGCTATTTTATTTTCCTTTTTATTTTTTGTTTTGAGACAGGGTCTCACTAAGTTGCTTAGGGCCTCAATAAATTGCTGAGGCTGACTTTGAACTTGTGATCTTCCTGCCTGAGCCTCCTTGCTGGGATTTCAGGCGCGTGTCACTGTGCCTGGCTTCTTTCTTTCTTTTKATTTAAAACATTTTTTATAACTTTATTTGTTTATTATTATTTTTTATGTGGTGCTAAGAATTGAACCCAGTGCCTCACATGGGCTAAGCAAGTGCTTTATCACTGAGCCACAACCCCAACCCATTATCTTTCTTAATAAATATTTTGTTTTGGGCTAATTTTAGATTTAGCGAAAAGTTGCAAAGATAGTACAGACAGTTACCATATTCCTCTCACCCAGTTTCCCCTAAAACCTTTCACATTACCAATAAACTTTCTTGTCCTAGGGACTCAACACCATTACATTACTATTAACTAAGCTTCAGACTTTATCTGGATTCATCAGTTTTTCTTTCTGTTCCAGGATCTAATCCAAGATGCTACATTGCATTTAGTTGTCATGTTCCTTGGTCTCCTCTGTTCCTTGGTCCCCTCTGGCAGTTCCTCAATCTTTTCTTGTTTTGATGACCTTGACAGTTTTGAGGAGTATTGGTCAGGTATTTTGTAGAATGTCTCTCAATTTGGGTGTGCCTGTGTATTTCTCATGATTATACTGAGGTTGTGGGTTTGGAGAAAAATTACTACACATCCTGTTGGGGGAGATATATGGTGTAAAATGACATGACTAGGGATGCTGACCTTGATCACTTGGTCCGGATAGTGTCTGCCAGGTTTCTCTACTGTAATGGTGTATTTCCCCTTTTTCATAATCTATTATTTAGAGTCAGTTCACTAAGAGCAGCTTATTCTCAATTGAAGACAGCATGAGTGATGGTGGTGGTGGTGGTTTAAACTCTGTTCTTCAAATATTACTTGGAATTCTTTAGTAAGAAAGATTGATCCCTTCTCCACTTATTTACTTATTTGATAATTTGTAGCATTAAGAACTCATGTATACTTATTTTTTTAATATATTTTTTAGTTGTAGATGGACACAATACCTTTATTTAATTTATTTATTTTTATGTGGTTTTGAGGATTGAACCCAGTGCCTCACACATGCGAGGCAGTCACTCTACCACTGAGCTATAATCTCAGCCCTCATGTATACTTATTTTATATTTGGGGTTATAATCTTATATAGTATTATTATTTATTTATTTGTGCTCAAATTGTTTCAGATTTGGCCACTGGGAGCTCTTTCAGTTGGTTCAGTTGGTTCCTGTGTCCCTTTGACATGTAGTTTTTTTTTTTTTCCTTACTTTTGGAATTACAAGATGCTCCATGCCTCAGATCTAGGATCTGAGCCATTTCTCTAGGAGCTAACTTTTGAGAGGCAAGAAACTGGAGATGTAAAATGTTACCCTGTTAGACATGGAGGGTGCATAGTGCTTCCCTACCTGGGATGCTTTGGAGAATTAGCGGCAACAAAAAAGAAGAAGGAGGGCTGGGGATATAGCTCAGTTGGTAGAGTGCTTGTCTTGCATATACAAGGCCCTGGGTTTGACCCCCAGCACCAGGGGAAAAAAAATGGAAGAAGAAGGGCACATGTGGGGTTGCTCTATTTTCTGATTTTCCTGGCTTAGACATAGGCTCTGGTGAGCAACCTGAGGTTATCTGATCTGTCCCTGTTCGAATGCAGAATTCAGACCAACTGTCTATGCCTGATGATCAGCTTCTAGAAGCCTCTGCTGTCCTCACAGAATGGCAAGCATTCTGAGATCCTGAGCTTGTGCTGGACAGACTTCTAGGGCATTGCTGTCCTACTCATTCCCAAGTATGTCTCTAGTCAAACGTCAGTTTGTATTTTTCTAACACTGTTGTTTCAGATTTGGCTTCTGCCCTATCTTCTCTCTCTCATGCATGTTCACGTAGATGACTTTGCTTCTTTTAGAAAAAGTAGCCCACCCAGGCAGGCATTTCCAGTCTCTCTTCCCCTTTGACACCTCTTTCCCTCTGCAAAGCTAACTTTTCTATCCAGGCCTGGACCTAATCCTCTCCTGCTTGTTTTCAGGACCATCCCCCTTTATCACACCTTCAGCCTTGTCCTCTATCACTTGCTTCTCTTGCTTAGCCTAAAAGAACACTGGAGTCCCTTGGCCTACAAAGAATCTCCTTGGCCTTGCCTTAGCTTCTGTCAATTCATCAGTCTTCTTCAAAGAATATATCTTATGGATCATCTCCTGTTGACAACTGGGATGAGGGAGACTATGGAGATTGTAGATTTTTTCCACAAAAAAAAAGGGGCAGCTGTATTGGTTTTCATGAAGGGATCTTAATAGGGAAATTAAGTAGTCCTCTCTTGGGAAGGTTCCAAGATGATGAAATAATACCAGTAAGGACTACTCTAGAGGATGAAACTGAGTGCTGAAGCCACCTGGGAAAGCTCTGGAGTGGCACTACTTGACCTGACCTGGAGTTGCCAGGAGAGGAATGGAGGCCACTCCCCATAGAGGCAGCTGCCAGAAGCTGGAGGAAAGGAGAAGCATCCATTTCCAAATGATGTCTGATCTACCCTGTTTCCCCACTCCAAGGTGAGAGGCTTTATCCCAGAGTGACAGCCACTTTAATCACAGAGCATTTAACCTCACATGGGCTCACACCTTTATGATCATTCTGTTTCCCACTGACTGTGTGAAGCAGCCGGAGTGATTCACCACCCCACCTGTTTAGCCTTATTGCCTCTTGCCAAGGCAATGCGACTGGGCCCTCTTCACCAGTAGAGCAAAAGGAAACTCCCATTCAGGGCTTGAAGCACTGCTTGGCCCCTCCACATCAAGATTCATCTTCTGGTACTCTTATCCCACCTGAGCTGGGCTCCTGCTCTTTATTCCCCTTCTGCTGACTTCTCTCTCCTTGACTACACCAGGGACACTTTCTCCTCAGTCCTAGTTTGTGGAATTCAGCTCATGACAGATAAGCTTCCTCTAGGACCAAGTGCTTATTAATTAACCTCAGCTCTTAACAGATTCACCTGTGCTTATAAACCCTGGCCAAATTCGTGTATATATAGCCTATATATATCGCTTATTCATTTAACAAATATTTATGGAGGATTATCAGGGACAGTCCTAGGTAGTGGGAATACATTGACAAGAAAAAAAGACATGGAGCTACAGTTGTAGCTCAGTGGTAGAGTGCTTGCCTAGCATGTGTAAGGTGCTTCATTTGATCCTCATTACCACATAAAAATAAATAAATGAAATAAAGGTATTGTGTCCATCTGCAACTAAAAAAGAAAAGAAAAAGAAAAAAGACATGGCTTCATAAGAGTTTGCAAATATGTAAAAAATAAGATATTAAATAAATAATTCCACAAATAGATAATGCTCCAATAAATGGATTGAAGAAAAAAAAGTAAAGAAGCTCACAGTCTCATCCAGGACATTAAGTAAAACTTCTAAAGGAAGGAAGAGTTTAACTGAGATCTGAAGGATCAGTAGAATTAACTAGGCAAAGGAGTTGGGATGACAGAGATAAGAGAGGAGAAAAATCTTCCCAGACTGAGAGAATAGCATGTGCAAAGGCTGAAAGAATGGCCAGTTGGCTAGAGTACAAAAAGCAAAAGGAGAATGGGAGGAGAAAAGTCTGGGGAGGCCAGTGGAAGCCCACTGGGCAGACCTTTGTAGGCATGTTCAGTATATTGGTCTTTATCCCAAGGACAATGGGTGGATAGCCACTAAAGGATATTAAATAGAAGAGTGACATGATCACATTTGTATCTGAGAAATTACTGGCCACAGTGTGAAGCACAGATTAGGAGAGGAATTGGTGCTGCTGTGAGAAAACAGGGGAGGTTAGAAGGTGACAGTTGTGGTCCCAAGAGAGATGAGGGCAGGGCTAGGCTGCTGGTCCTGTTCCATTTGCTTGTCCTCTGACATTTTTACCGTCCTCAGATGCCAGGTTCATGTGAGCAGTGTGTTCTCAGCAGAAGATGATCCTGTGGAGGGCCCAGAGGGGGGATGAAGGTTAGGCTAGTCCCAGTGCCAGCCTTTGGTAGGGAATTAGGACCTGAAATATGGAGAGGTTAAGGATTAAGAGACTCTTCCTCCTTACCTTATTCTTTTGCCATTCCAAGTTGCTTTGCTCTAAGAGTAAAACCAAGCTTGATGAAGCCTCTTTAAAATCAGTGACCCTCCATGTGGAAGACCCCATCTCATCTTTACCTAGGGAAGAGCCTAAACCACCTGCTTCAGGGTGTAGTATTCTCCCTGCTGTGTTGCCTTCCAGAATTCAATGTGACAGGCACCCTAAAACCACCTAGCCTGGCAGATTAAGTGGACTTTAAGGAGAGGCATGGATGTGTCCTTTTCAGATTCTGGAGATCTGAACACTAATCTTAATTTGTGACCTTGGGCAAATTCCTTCCTCTCCTTGGGCCTTGGTTCTGGTTCTCTCATCTACAAACTAAAGGTAACCTCAAAGTCCCCACCAGCTGCGGGAGGGACTTCAAGCAGGATGCACTCGGCGCTGCGCCAAGCCCCGAGGTGGGTACGGGGTGGGGACACACCAGCGTGGGGTCGGCTAAGAGAAGGGAGCTGGCGGAGAGGAAAGCAGAGACTGCGCGGCGGTGCTGGGGACTTTGCACGCGCTACCGCGACCCCGCCTCTTGGTGGCCCTCGGCCTCGGGGCCACGAGGTTACGTAAGGAGCCGGGCGGGGCGGGGCGGGCGCCGCCCGATCGCGGCCGCCCAGCTCCCGGCGGCCCAGCCCCCGCCCCCCGCGCCTGGTGGCGGCGGCGGCGGCGGCAGCGAGAACAGCGGCAGCAGTGGCCGCGCAGCCCGCGGCATGGAGCGGCGCCTGGGCTAAGCCGGGCGCGCACGGGCCGCCGCATGTGCCGCGCAGGGGGCGGCTGCAAGCGGGCGGAAAGCGAGCGCAAGGGCCCCGTCGGAGCGGCCGCCGGAGCAGCGCCGGAGATGGGGTGAGTGTGCCCGCGCCGCGCTCCCCGAGGGCTGCGGGGCTGCAGCTCTGTGCGCTGGCGCGCAGCCCCTGACGGTCCACCCCGTCCCTGCCTCCTCCAGCCGACTTCTGAGCCTGGGGGGCGCGGACTTTCCCCCCGGAGCTGGGGCCCTTACCCTCCTAGCCAGCCAGCCGTGGGTAYACCTGGCAGGGACCAGCGCCCCGGCCGGCCTCAGTGCCTCGACCATTCCGGAGTCCCTTCGCCCCCGGTGCGATCAACTCCAGGGCCTGTGTTTGTGAGTGTGAAAAACAGTTTGTCGTTTTCCATGTTTGGGTTATTCCAAGCAAAATAGAAATCGAAGTTTTCTTGGAAAAGGAACACATCAAATAGTAAAAACCTCCAGCGCAGGAGCAGTGGACTTTGAGACATCTTGGAGATGGCTGAAGATGTGGAAGTCTGTAAGGAACCTAGGTGAGGCTTCAGTCTTTTCAAACAACTGAGTAGATGTTCAGGAGGGAAGTTGAAATACTCTTTGAAGTGACTAATGTTTCTAAGTATATAAAGTAATTTAAAAAGCAGGATTGATTTCTCCTTAGTGTCTCTCTGAGCTGTGAGTCAGGGAGCCACTGTGCTAATAACAGTAATTCCTCACATCTGCTCACTGATGTGAGTACGTGGTGGTGTTGTGCTGTCCATATTCAGAGAATGGTTATTGTGCCCATTTTTCAGAAAAGGAAACTGAAGCCTGAAGTATTTTGATGCTATCTTCCAGGTTGTATAGCTGATGAGCTTTTGGAGAAGGTGGGCACTTAGTATAAGGTCATGGGCAGAACCAAGGCCTTTGCCTGATAGTGGGCATGGGGATAAGGAAGTGAACCAGAGTTCCTGAATCTCTTTGTTTTCTGCTGCTGAGCCCAGCGTTCTTCAAATAGACTTTATAAAAATTAATTAATTTATTTATTTTAATTAGGTATATATGACAGCAGAATGCATTTTGATTCATTGTACACTTCAAACAGACTTTTATAGAAACCAGAGACTTCTGCTGGGTCTGGAGATCTTGCTTTCCTGTTTGGGATGGGTGGGACATGGGAAGGCAAAGGTATGTGGAAAGGGGCAAAGTTGTCCTGGTGGCCTGAACCAGCTTCCTTGGGTCAGGGGCTTTATTGTCCCTTACTCCACATAAGTATCTGGAGTCATTTTACCCAGTGAGCCTTATTTATGAAGACTGCAGAGTGTTTGGAGAGAGCACAGGCAGGCCAAGAGGAATTTTGAGAAAGGGAGGCATGAGGGCTGTCCACCAATATGACCTGGGGGTGGGGGGAAGAGAGGAGAGAGGAAGTTTGTTTAAGATGTTGGTTCCCATCCAAGAGACTTCACACATATGGCAGCTGTGGGTGATTTTACCAGAGGCACCCTAGCTGCGAGGCAGTGTTTCTGTAACATTTCCGTGATTCCTCAGAGGACTATGAAAGAACTGATCTTTGAACAGGGGGAACCTTTGAGGATCTCAGATTTCATACTTAAAAAAAAAAAAATGGAAAGAAGGAGTTGGCAAATGTATGTCTCAAGATGGAAGATAAAAGGAATCTGGTAATTTTAACTCTCTCTGCCCCCCGCCTCCCCGCCAACACAAAACCAACCCAGCAAACTTGTGTGATCAAAAACAAATATTGAAACTGTGGTTGAGATCAAATAGATCTGTGGAAATGAAAATGTTTTAAAACCTTAAAGAAAATGTCAGAAAATAATTTTTTGATTGTGGAAAAGCAGGGAGAATAGCTTGGGGATTTAGTTAAACTCAGAACATGTCTTCATGTAATTTTAATATCATTTTATAAATGTATATTATTCATTTCTTGTAGGTAAAGGCTGGTTTGTAACTCCTACCTACATCTGCCATTTTTAATATATCTGCTGCTTCTATAATTTATGTGAATGTACAAACCATGGTTGTAAATTGAGATTGAGCTAAGAGCAGGGTAAGCAGTTTAGACTGAGGAGGTGGAGGGAGCCATTTTAACCAAAAATAGAATCAATGTCATCCTTTCTGAGTGTTGTGTAGGATGGAGGGGGAAGAACCAAGAAAGGGCAGCCAGTAGGAAACCTTGCCATGGTCCTATGTTTTGTCATGGTTCTACTGTGTAGACATGTCCAGGAGTAAAGGAAAAAACAAAACAAAACAACAACAACAAAAAACCCAATCCATCTTAGTTTATCTCTCCCCACCTGACATGCCCTTCCTCCTTCAGACATTCACTGCCATTTCTCACTTCTCTTTTGTGAAGTGTTTTGCGTTAAGTGTGTGGTCTCCCTGGTGAGTTTGTGCTGTTACTCCCCAAGGCAACTATTTCATATCTGCTCCCCTTTTCAGATCTCTCTTCCCTCTTCCTTACACATACTTCACCTCCCTTTTCATGGACAAAATAGCAGCCACAGACCAAGGGAAAGTCTTCGTTTTCCTGCCAGGCCTATAGTCTAGTGTGTAGCTGTCATTGTCTTCTGCCTGTTTGCTGGATAGCAGTCTCTCCTGCTCCCCTAGCAGAGGCCCACTTTTCCTGGTGTAGCCTCTATCCATCCCCTCTCATCTTTTCAGAGGATATCCTTCCTTTCTAACTTCCTTTCTCTCCAGAGTCTTTTCCATCAGTATAGGAACATGCTTTAGTTTAGCACTGCCCAATAATTTTCTATGGTGCTTGAAATATTCTATACCTACATGGTCTAGTATAGTGGCTACCAGTCATGGGAAGCCACTGGGCTTTTGAAATGTGGCTAGTGTGATTGAGAACCTGAATTTTAAACTTAATTTAAATTTAAATCACCATGTATAAGCTAGTGGCTGCCATATTGGATAGCACAGCTTTAGCCTTTTCCATTTTAAAAAGGACCTCTCCATCCAACCTGCATCCCTTTCCTGCTTCTGTTCCACTTCTTTGTTCCCCTTCTCCTGAAGACATTTCAAAATATATGTTCAAACACACCATCTCCACTTTCTTTTCCTACTATTTGTTTGTCCTCCTCCATCTACAGTATAGCTTCTGCTTCCTCCTCTGCATTGAAACTGCCAGATTTCTTCCCTTATCTTGTTTTACCTTACAGTGGCATTCTTCCCAAATGGCCACTCCCTCCTCCTTGAAACAGCTCCCCTCTCAGCTCCTGTAGCACCACATTTCGCTGACTTTCCTTTTGCCTTCCTGATTTTTTTTTTGTTTTTTCAGTATCCCTACTGGCCGCTCCTTTGCCTCAAATGGTAGGGTTGCTTAGGGACTGGTCTTGGTTTCGTTTCTGTGTCAATACTTCCTTCCTAGGTAATAGTATCCTCTCCCAACTTATTCTCCCATTTCCCCATGATGTTATCTGTCAGTGACCCTCATTTTTTTTTTTTTAATTTCTAATATAGACCTTTCTCAGGGCTTCTGACTCTTGTTGATACACGGAGCTCTTGATATTCCTTGCAGTTCTCACCTTCCCTCTTGTCTTCTCCATCCTATTCAGTAGCCCCACTATCCCCTTATTTGCGAAGAATCATCTTTGTTTCTTACCTCCTACATTCAGTTGGTCCCATGGGTTCTACTTCCAATATATATCTGGAGAGTGCTCACCTCAACCCATAATCACAGATCCCATTCTAGTCCTGGCCATCATCACCTCCATCCTGGACAAACTTCCTAACATACCCCCTTCTGCTTTCGATTACCTCCAGTCCATTCTGCACCCAGAAGCTGGAATGACCAGCTTTTAAAATTGCAAATTTTTTAAAATTGCAAATCAGATGATGTTATTCTCCTTAAACACCCTTTACCAGACAAGATGCTGGCCCCTGCCCCATTTCCAGCTTCTCCTTTCTCCCTTTCACTTTGTCTCTCATTGCATTCTACTAACTCTTCTCCTCCCCAGGGCCCTTGAACTTGGTGTTTCCTCTGCTTGGATCTACACTTTCTCTTTCTTCAGATTTTGGTCAGGGTCACCCGCTCAGCCTTTCCAACCACCCCATCAAGAATACACTTTCCCAGAACTCTAACACAACTCCACCTTTGTATCCTACAGTTGCTTGTCATGACACATGTGTAATCATTTATTTATTGGTAGACTGATATTGGAAGAAGACTTATAATCTTTCTTCTTCCAATATCAGTCTACCAACTTAGGGCCTTTCCTTTTTCACCATTGTATCCAGCACCCAGCACAGTACCTGGCACCTAATAGACCTTCAATAAATATTTTTTGATGGAGTTAGTACTTGAATGCGGTGGCAGTTTTGCTTGGATACTTGCCTAGAAGTTGTGATAATTTTTGGATTACCTTTTATATAGCTTGATTAATTGGGAATTGTAAGGGCCAAGAGAGAAAGAGAGAGAATATAGTTTTCTTTTAATGTCAAAGCAAGCCAGTTAGCTTTCATTGTGATGTGGGTCAATTTTTGGTCTGTCTGCTGTCACCTGAGTATAGGGGTTTAAATTACATTTTTTATTCTTCTGTAAAAGGCTGGCAGAAGAGCCATCTTGTCTGCTGTTGTGACTTTTAGCTGATTTTGTCAGCTTTTACAAACCAGATCTATTGTATTACTGTTTGGCTTCACTTTACACTTATTTATTTTGTTTAGTCAAGATTGCCTTGCAATGTATGAATGTCACAATCTTGGTAATCTAACACCTCTGGCTGCCTTTCAGTAATCAATACTGATTAACTTTCTTTTGATGTTCATTTCTTCTTTAATTTTCCATTCTTCCTGAATCACACTGAATTACATAGTTCCTACAAATTATAGGGTTTTTCTTTGGGGTGTGAGTTAACTGAAATGGATATAATTACTCAGATATATTGAAGTAAACTTGTATTGCCTTGGTCCTGTTGTGGGKTTTTTATTTATTTAATTTGTTCTAATTAGTTATACATCACAGCAGAATGCATTTTGATTCATTGTACACAAATGAAGCACAACTTTTCAACTTTTTATTTCTCTGGTTGTACATGATGTAAAGTCGCACCATATATGCAGTCATACGTGTACCTAGGGTAAT